ATACACTCACTTGATTTTAAGATATTTTATAGCAAAATATGATGAGAGAAACAAGCTGAAAATATTTTAAACTTATCGTGCAGAAATCCCACTGAATAAATTCATAAAAATTGCTAGTTATCCAATTTCAGTGAATACTTTCCGATACCCAATTGAGAGAGTGTTCATAAATGAAGGCTCAGCATAAAAGTGTCTCAATAAATCCCCAGAGCTGCTCAAGTGTCCTCGCCATGGGTGACTGGTAATCTAGCAGCGGGTGGTCATCAGGACACCACTGCAGATCCACTCCGCAGCAAGCCAGCACATATCCTGCCACCATTCTGCAATGTACAAGCCTTGACTTTTTGTAGAATGTTGCGTGGTACACAGGTCCGCCCTAGTTCAACTCAACGTGTAATTTAAATGCAATTAAAATAATAATTTATCTTGCTCCGCCAGCTTGTCATCCGAGGCTGGGGGGTTCACTCCCCTAAGCTGTACCCATGGAGCGGCATAAATACATACAGAAACGAGACATTTAGCGGTGATAAATGAGTGGAAACTGACAAGCCAAATGAAGGAATGCACACACCCGTGAAAACGTTCTCCTGGAATTTCAACTGAGTTGTCAGGTGGGTCTGTGGTCAGAGTTAAGGGATTGTTTTCGAATGCAGCTAGCAATTAGCTGGAAACACATGTAAGAGCTGCTCCTTGGAGGGATGCAGTCCACAAAATAAAGACATAAAACAATCAAATAGCGATATTTCACAACATTTAATTATAAATGCAAATTTGCAATAAATCAAAGTGCGGGTTGAACCCGAAAATACTCCATGCTTTAATATCGCGCTAGCCCCGATATAATCGCAATACAATAAACAAATAAAATAACAATTAATTGAATTTTTAACAGCCCCTTTTTATTGTCACTTCAGCTCACTGGTTGTAGCATTTAAATTTTCATAATAAAATGTAATTTATTGCATTTGCATAAACCTTTTGCCGAGGAGACCGCGGCATGTCGTGTCGTGTCCTGTGTCCTGTGTCCTGTGTCCTGTGTGTTTGTGGCTGCAATTGAATCAACGCCGTGCAGCAAAGTAGCCGAAGAACAAAAAGAGTAGCGGCATAAAGAAAGCCGTGCAATAATATGGCCGCCAAACTGTTGGCAATAGCCGGCGGCTGCCACAATAAAAATCCCTTTTTGATTTATACTCAATGTGTCATATGAAAAGGAGAGGGATTGTGTGGCATGAATGCGAATTAATCGCTTAATTGCTTGCCAGTGCGGCCGAGGGAATGTTTAACACAGAAGTTGATCAAACAAATTAAGTGCATTCTCAGATCAAGATGGGTATAAGGCTTTAAAGTCGAGTCTTTGAGGGATTAAGCACTTTAAACACCAGGAAATGAGAAGGTGTCATAAAGCATTTGGAGAGTAATATTTTTAATTAGGCATTTGACCCACTCGCTCTGTTTGCCAGGATCCCTACTCTTCGCTAATGGCTAAACAAGCAGCATCTGTGACACGGTTGTGCGTGGTTGCGTGGTCCACACGCCTTGGTGGTTGAGCCCACCTGCTCCATCCACATCAAAAGCATCCCAGCAGCACCGAGGGCGCTGCATATAAATACACTTGTGGCTGGTGGGGGCGACTGGTGGATAGTGAATCATGTCAGCGCATGGCCAACGTAAATGCAATTTAAAGCAAACAATTTTTTTGAAATGACCCACATCCGGTGCAGGACAGGACAGGACAGGACAGGGCACGCACTGCAACGGCAACGGCAACGGCAACAAAATGGGAGTTGTTCTCACCGTGCCGCACACAACATCATTAAAAATTAATTCACGCTCAATGTACTGGCCCCGGCCAAAAAGATACGGAAGAGACTGGAGTGCAACTGGAAGTGGAACTGGAACTGGAAGTGGAAGTGGAAGTGGGCTAAACAACGGAGGCAAATGAATGCACACGGTTTGCGGTCGCCTGGATGCTGTGCACTTTATAATGTTCTCCCGGCTGCAAGCGACCGGGCCGGTTCGGCCGCTGCCTGATGACTTAATGAGCATAATAAGCTCGGTGCCGAAATTACCTTTTTAAATGAACATGATGCTGCCCATACGGACTACAAGTAGTGTTGGCTACACAATGCTCCACCACCTGCTGACGCCACCTGTGCCAAATGGGGATTAAAAGTGCCATAGAATGGACAAGCGGTTACATATTCAAATTAAGATTTTAATGTTCACACAAAGGGCGGCCATTCCAAAATAACAGTTATGTGCATGTGCGTGTGTGTGTGCGTGTGTGTGTGGCAGTATGCCATGAGTGGATTACGGTACGGAGCGAGGGCGACTGGGTTGGCTGGGGATGGTGCGGGCTGGCTTAAAACGATGCCAAAGAAATGCAAATGCAAATTAATTAGTTGCCGTTTGATTGACTCAAACTCACAGCTAAGTAGCTTAGTGCAATCGTTTGTCCCGATAATGTGTACGGAACAGGAACGTAGAGCCGTCAATCGCAATCGCGAGTGTGCAATTTATTTCATCAGAATGGCCAAAGAAGTCATTCAGCTATTTATTTCTGAATGCCATAGCTCAAAAGTTGACAGAGTTCTGAGCCCAGAACCGCCCCAGAGCACCCCCATTCGAGACCTCATCGGCAAGTCAGCTTGAATAAGATTAGCGACAAAGTGCCCGAAAAAATGAAATCACGACTGCGACACGCTCATGCGTTCGCTCAATAAGTTTTTAAAGCCAATACAAACATACTTTTCAACGCCATAATCAAATTAAAGCATAATTTTTTACGACCTCATAGTCATAAATATGAACGATGAGAAAGAAATTGTGCCCCAAACATGAATCGTAAAAAGTGAGTGGAGTGGAGTGGATGAGATGCAAGTCCGGAACCGGCAATATGGTCCCCCCCTTGCAAGTGATTTCCCATTTCCGCTAAGCGGCTGCAAAAGCCGAAGCCTTGGCACGCAAAATAATATTAAATGTATAAATCATCTTTGGGATGCCTTAAAATTGAATACGCATTCGTCAGCAATAAATCGCATCATTCGAAGGAAGCTTCTGCATCCGCAGCTCCTGCTCCTGCTCCTGCTCCTGCTCCTGCTCCTGCTCCGGGCCACATCTCAAAGATTCGGTCACATATGCGTTTTTGCGTTTGTCTGGCTGCTGTCATTGGGGAAATTGCTACAATACGTTTCATATTTCATGTGGCTTCGAGTGTTTCCCCTTTTGCTTCTGATTGTGGGCACGGACTTTCGCATGAGTTATTATTGGCAATCGCCAATACGACGAATCCCTCAAAGATCAATGACACCGGAATTGTTTTTGCGACCCGATTTGCATATAGAATGCAATAGAAAAATGCTCTCTTATTTATGGCTGGTGGTAGCTTGCAGCTCCCAGAATGCTGGCTTCGGCTGCTCCATTTTTCCACTGCTCACTTCTAGGTGGGGAGTGGCTTATGATGGATCCAAGTCTAACTAAAAAGTTTGTATACTTTCCAGCTTTTCCATCATAAAAACGTTGTGAAATTACAATGAGTCAATATGGGGAATGTTCTTACCTCTGGCGAATATCTATAAAACAAGAATTAAAGTTCAAAATTAGGCAGTAAATAACTCGATTGATTGTTCAGCATGACCAAAAAAAAAGCATTGATTGGGCACTGATTTGGTATTTCCCCTACATAGTTCCCTCCTGCTTAAAAGCCATTCATGTCAGTTGGTTTTGTGCTGACCAATAAAGTCTGTACAATATACAGCTGGCGAAGGAAGGGGCCTATCGGCGAATGACCGACTAATCAACGAATGAAATGTCGCATTGGACATTGACACAAATTTCTGTCTAGGCACCACGTGAGTGCCCGATTGTCATCCAATAATGTGCAGAAAGTTGATGTAACTTTTAACCGTCTAATTATTTCGATATCCAGTAAGAGATATTTGTTTACTTGGCAGTAGAGCAGCTGTGGAGTGGCTCTGGAAGCTTTATCAAAGTTATATGACTGACGGCGGGTTCTTATATCTTGCCCCTTGAGTTCCCAATCGGAACCATAAGTAAACAGGAATCAAAGCATTGCAAATTATAAAACGTGTAAACGTCTGAACTGTGCGAAAATTATTGCAGGCACAAATAACATTAATAGCTGGTAATCACAAAAAGATTTAAAAACCTTCAACGACTATGGACAAAAGTTGATTGTGCGCATTAGCTCATGCTCTGTTTTGGGACGATCAGTTAAGCCTTAATTGAGGTAATAAAAGCAAAAGGATTAGATGTAGATCCCCCAATCTAAGGCAATCTACGAGTTTAATTCCTTCAACTGATGACATGTATTTTTGGTAGTTGGGCCCCAACTTCGATCCTTCGTTTCCTCTTCCAGACAATTTCCAAATAAACGCGTAAAATTGTTCTTCGCCTCTCTCTCTGGTCTATGCTAATGTCCTTGTGTGTGTGTGTGTGTGTGTGATGGAAGCCCATTCTTAATTTCGAATGAAGCAATTGGCACAGGAAGACATTGCCAAATATTGCAACATTTCGGAAGGGAACAGGGAGAAACCATGTCGACGAAACGAAAATCGAATTTATGGTCCAAGAAGCGCTGTCAAAATGTGAGAATTGAGTGCCGGCGCCTAGGTCCTGTCTGCTGGGTGCTGGGTGCTGGGTGCTGGGTGCTGGCAAACCGAGACCCAGTTGCATCGCAGACATTTGCATCTCGCATATAAATCGCATTACTAGCACGCAATTACGAGTCCTCGACACATGGGCCTGTGGTTGGGCCCGAGCTCGTGGTCCACACACTGAAAGTTGAGGGCACATTGAGGGTGCATCGGTAGCCGTGTCCGCCACAGAGCCACAGAGCCACAGAGCCAATAAACAATTACGCTGATAGTTTTTGTTAGCGGCGGAATTTTGCACACCTGCGATAAGGAATTATCAGCGGCGAGCAGGCGGAGCTACCGCAACGGGCACGACATACTTGGGAACTCAAGTACAAACATATGTCATGGAGAGTTATGGCTTTAATTAAGATTTCTATAAATACAATGGCACTGACAATGACAGCGTGGATCATAAAACCGATCTAATCGCCTCAGCCGGTGAAATACATATCACAATTGGTACAACGTCTAACCCTTTCCGGATCACAGCAGAATGGGACACTTGTACATGATGTTGATCTTATCAATATCCTTAGGGCTAAGACCCAGGCGCTGGCCTATCACGGCGCTGGAGTCTAGCGGCACAATGGTGTCCTCGCCGTTGATGGAGAAGGCACCAGGACGATAGTGCAAGCAGCTATCGTAGTCGTAGCCCACATCGAAGTCGGTCACCACAGCGGCGGAGTACTTCTGGAAGTTGAACTCCTTGCCGGGCACTATGTTGTCGTAGACCACGTTCACGTAATCGTCGCGTATCGTAGAGCTCTGCTGGTGGTAGAAGCCCAAGGCGTGCATGAACTCGTGCAGAATGGTTCCGGGCCGGAAGCAGCCCTGCCCAATCGGGTAGATCTCCAGGTTCATTTCCTGCGGTGCTGCGCGATAGCCCACATCGGTGTAGCACCCTCCAGCATTTGCTGTTATTGTCAGGTAAGCCGTATCTTGGTCGGTGGCTTCCCTGAACGTGACGCACGAGTTTTGCTCCAAGGTTTGCACACCCTTCAGAATCGCCTCCCTGTGACTGGCGTCAAAGTCGTCCGAAATTTTGTAGATCACCTCATTGTTGGGCCACCTCCTCTGCGTATTGGTGAGCCCGTTGCGCTCCTTGGGTCCATTCTGCAAGTTCGCTTGTTGCTCCTCGGTCAAAATCATATCTCCACCGGCGAAGCCACCTGCCTCCTCCGGATCGTACACTCCCGCCGGCAGTGGCAAAGGCTTGCCCTGGCTAAGCCTCACGGACACAAGTAGGATAAACATTAGGCCAAGCTTCGACATCCTGCCTGCTTTGTATCTCAGCGCATACTAACGGCCAGGCCGCGGAACGTGCGGTTCATAAGTACAATCGAAACGGAACCGCACCACACAAAGATTAGATACAAACGGGCAAAAAGTATTTCGCAAATTGATAATGGCAACTGGAACGACCAATTAGATCAAGGTTTATTGCAGTTGTCATGTCCAGCACGGCGCCCATCTACTGTACAATAAATAAACCACAACGGCAATGTAAATTTTTGATACACATCTCATACGTAATAGGTTTCCCCATTCACGGAGCCACGCATATTAAACCAAAGATTGAACCACCAACTGATTGAAATATCAAGTGGCCGACAGAATCAGAAAAAGTAATTAAAACCGCTGCCCCCATGATGAGTAATGGGCTGAAAATCGTCAGCAATGTCTGATAACTTCCCAACAACCAATACACGAGTAATCGTTTTGCCTAACACAAGTGATCGTTTGTCTTCTAGCTTTTTGGGTCTTATCTGTCCGGCAAATGGTCGTCCACGCTCCATTGCACGGACTACAGTAATGGCCAATTCGAGTCTCTCAAGAAACTAACTCAAAAAATACTCTGAATGAAATGGTGGATCGGCCGGACTTCGGTACTACGACTCTTAAACAACTCTCTCTTGGTGGGTTACCCTGTGAGACGATATCAAAACGAAAAGAGTGAGAAAGTTGCCGAGTTGCTGTATACTTCTGGGCGCCGTGTGTTGTGCTACTTGGGATGATAGAAGAGACTTATAAGCATCCACAGTCGCGCCCACGATATTCCCACAAATACTATCCGAAAAAAAAACAACCATTGAAAAGAGATTGCCCTCGAAGGTTCAGTTTTATTGCAGAGCACAAGATCTTAGACCACACGAAAAGCTAAGAGCTTCGCTCACATCCTATTACGATTTTCTTCTGCATCCACCTTTGCAGTTGCATCCGAATACGTTGCACCTGCCGTTGCCGCAATAGGCACCGACCACCATTTGGCCATCGCCGCAGATGGGCGACGCCGGGCAGCAGACTGCCGCAGCTTCCCTAAGGAGCAATATGGCCAGTAGCACGTACATCAAATGCATAGTCTTCATGGATGGCTGGTTACGCGATAAGTGACTCTCCAATAGATCCACTACTCCGTCTGAAAGAAATATATCTCATTTGCCATGCTTTTAATGTAGAGTGTGCCGTGAAATTGTAATTCTTATGCAGCAATCTTTAGCTTTTATGGTTCAACATTTACAGTTTATACGTGGCCAGGACACTTGTACATTTTATTTAGTTTGCGTACATCTGTCTTGCTCAATCCGCGACGTTGGCCCATCTTTGAGCCTCCTGTTTTCAGGGCCACAATCGTTGGTTGCGATATGTTCTTGGCAAATGCATTACTAATGTAGTGCATTACACTCCCGTAGTCGTATTGCTCGCCGTAGTTGTTCCAGCCTATGTATGTCTCGTTGTTGTGGAAATTGATTCGATTTTCCGCATTAATATTTTCCCATACGATTCGCACATACTCGTCTCGGTTGTGGGCCACGTGCTGGTGTTCAAAGCCCAACACGTGCAGCAGCTCATGGATTATGGAGCCCATGCGAAAGCAGCCCTGGTCCAAAGCGCCTAACCCAATATTCACTTTCGTGCGATGATTTCTCCAGCCAATGTCCTCGCAATGGCAGCCGACCTCATCCGATGTTATATTGACAAAATATTTTTGTTCTCTGGACGCCTCCACAAATTTGACACAAGATATTTTTTCTATTCTGTGCATTGCCCTACGGACATACTGTAGATGGGGTTCATCTGTGCGAAACGGATCATATGATGCACCTGATAAAACTATTTATGTGCCCTTCATGCTTACCAAAGGTGCCATTTTCAATGAAGTAAAAGACTGTGCGGTTTGGCCAATGATAGATCGTGTTGCTTATCACATTTCTCCGCCAGTTCGCCCGCATACTGGGCCTTTTGACGAGGTCACCCTGAAAAAAGTTCGGCAAGAGCTCGGGATCCCTATGCCAGTCCCTTAAGGAAGCGCTCAGAGAGTGCTTGGCCAGCAGCAAGGTCAGAGCCAGGGCCAACGTATTCATCATTTCCAAGCTAATACTCAAACTGGAGCGGAAAAAACCTCAACAACACTCGGCATAGTGCCATAATTATTTCATTCGTCATGCTCATCGATGCATTTCTTTATACATTTAGAGGTTGTTTGTAACTAAAAGAAGTATTCAAAATTTAGACAATAGATACTTGAATTTCTCTTTATGATGGATACTTTTACAGCTGTCTGGGGCACTTGTACATTACATTTAGTTTGTTAATATCTGACTGGGTCATTTGCAGACGTTGCCCCATAATCTCCTCGGCTCCCTGCTGCAGAGGAATGATGGTCATCTCTCCGTTCTTTGAGAATGCATAGGCCGTGTAGTGCAAGACACTGGCATAGTCATACAGCTCGCCATAGTCCTCAACCGTGTCACTGTCGTACTTGTTGAAGTTACTCTCCCTGCCCGGGGTAATGTTCTCCTCGGCAATACGAACGTAATCGTCCCGATCCCAAGTGCTTTGCTGGTGGTAGAAGCCGAGGGCATGCAGAAACTCGTGGACAATGGTGCCGATGCGGAAGCAGCCTGTGTCCAGAGCATAGTTTTGCAGATTTAGCTGCTGGACCCTATTGCGATAGCCCACATACGAATAACAGCCACCAGCCTCGGAGGTAACATTTACGTAGTATTCCTGGTCAGTCGTTGCCTCCCTAAACACCAGGCAGGAATTCTGCTCAAGCAAACGGATGCCGCGTAGAATGTGGTTGCGATGCTCAGTATCTAATTTCGAATGCATTTTATCAGACAAACTCGCACGTTAATAGTTCCGCTTGGATGGCTTTACCGATATTCAGATTGATGTAGTAGTAGACGATACGATTGGGCCAGCGGAACGTCTCGTTGCGTAGTCCGTTCCTGGCCCCAGGACTGGGCACCATGTCGCCTTCAATGTAGCCAGCGCTTAGCTCGGGATCGGTCTCCAATCGGTCTCCCTTCTCTGGCGCCGGGGCAGCCAAGCAGCTGCTGGCCAGGAGCAGAAGAGTAAGAGCCAGAACCTTCATACTGTTCGCCGGACGTATGCGACAAAACTGTTTTGGTGGACAGCGACATGGGTTCGAAGTAGTCTTTCTGGTCAATGGACAATTTATGGTATATGCCAATATAAACATTTTACAGCCACCTATATTGAGCAAACAGTGACCGCTAAGAATTATCTAAGCCTTAGATGTGGCCCGCATAACACGAAACAAATATAATACGTAATCTATAAGATATTTAGGCACTTCAGGTATATCCATTTCAGTTGGTTTTGTGGACGGGGGTTCGACGGGTTCGTGTACATCCAAATTCTTTGCTACAATTTCCTCATACACCTCCTCAGATGTGACACCTTTTTATCACTTTCATTCAGCCGAATATTACAACAGAGAAGAAGCCCAAACCATTACAGCACCCCCCCCCCTAATCACAATCGTTTACTGAGCTCTTGTCCCGGAAGCTTTCCGTAATGTAAGCCCAATGGCAGTGATGTTCGCGCACTTAATTGAATTTTTCAACACAATAAACTGATTATCATTTCGTAAGGGAGACATTTAAATGACATTTATCATCATTACAACAAAATGCGAAAGAAAGGTGCGACATATAAACGGAATGTAAGGCATCAACAGAGTGTATTAGACTCAGTTTAGCTGCTTCCCAGTTGGACAGTCCGTTTCACTCCGCTCTTGTCCGTGTTTATGAAGGTATGATGCCAAAGGTAGTAATTATATTGCAGCTTTTATATAGTTGCACGCCAACAACTAATTCTTATCTAATGACTTACTTTTGCTACATTTGCAGGAGCTTAGCTGATAAGCTATTAGGAAGTGGCTTCTCATATCTATAAATTGATGTCAAAATCTGACAACGACACAGCACTTTGAAAGAGGAAGATTTATTATTGGTTTTTCAGCGATCAGCTTATCAATTCCTCATAAGGGGTTCCACGAAATCTTTGAGTTCTTGGGTCAATACCCTTACTACGATTCCGTTCATCGGTCTTTTATCGCCCACCCGCACTCATGTTGTGTACGCTCCAATCCGTATAAAATCCCACACGTTTAAGACTCTGGAGACAGTTCCAAAATGCACAATCTTACTCTTGGATTGCTGCTCACGATTGCTTGGCTTGTCCAGGCTCGTCCTCCGACCACAGCTGAGGCTGACGATGACATGAGACTCACACCGGAGCAGGTGCAGCTTTTGGATATGAACGGAGGCCCTCGCATAGCTCATTCCTGGTCTGGATATTATTGGAAGGGCAGCACTCTTGTCTACAGTTTTGGTGAAGGCTTGTGTACGTATCCTGGAGTATTCCATGAAAAGTTCTGTAAGACTTCTTACGACCACCATAGCTTCCTGGGACAACGCTCTAATCGAAAAAGCCATGGCAGCGATATCATCCCAAACTTGTGTACGATTTCGCAAAACAAGGAATGCGAAGGATCTGCAGGTGGTCATCCAGAGAAAGGAAGCCGGCTGCTGGTCATACGTTGGCTTCTTGGGCAGACAGCAGCAGCTGCTCAATCTTGGCGAGCGGTGCATGTCGAGCAGAACTATTCAGCACGAACTACTCCATTCCCTGGGTCTCTTTCACACGCACTGCGACCCGAAGCGCGATCGGTACGTAAAGATCTACACGGAGAACCTGAAGCCCGGCTTCGAACACAACTTCAGACTGATTGCGGCCAGCGAAGCGACAGATTTGAAGCTTGGCTACGACTATGAGAGCATCATGCACTATGGCGAGTATGCATTCTCCAAGAACGGGCTACCCACGATAGTTCCTCTTCAGAAAGATGTGAAGATTGGGCAGGCAGAAGGACTGAGCGCAAATGATGTGAGGAAGCTTAACCGCATGTACTGCCAGGGAAGCAAAAGGCAACAATAGACCTATGTGTATGCCGCACACTGCTAGACCGCATCCTTTCTCCAAGTAATCGCAACATTTGCAATTCCAACGAGTTGTTGCACTTGACAGGAAACAAGAATCTCCTCCCCACTGGCAGCGCCGTTAATCCACAAAACAAAAAGCTCTAGCCATGGTAAAGGAAGTGTTTGCCTTTGCCGGCAACTAAAAATTGAATATTTAGTGGTCGTAATTAAAAATTAGCGCGCTGGGCAACTAACCAACCTGCCAGCTACTGCCACCCGGCAGCCATGGCTCGTAATCCCAGGACCACCAACTATCTGCGAACTCTCTCCTGTATGCCGGCGAATCCTCTTCCCCTTCTATCTTTCCTTTCACACAAGGACTCGCATATACATATACATATATTTGGTTTTTTAATGGCACAAATTGTAGTAAAGCCAAAGCTCCTCCAGAGCTACCAGCACACCAAACGGAAGTCGTAAACATTTAATTTATGCAAGCAATGCATTCGCTTTTTTAGCTGCAACTAAAGATGGGCTAATATCGTTGGCCAGGGAACGATTGTTAGTCCTGCTAGTCTGGGGCCTTATCAGTAAGGCAAGTAGGCTGCATTAACGCCAATGCTTAGGAACCTTAAGCTGGCCTTGATCGAATTTTCTTTGTTGCCTAAAGAAAGTCCGCTCGAAAAAATTATAGATAATAATGCAATAATGTGGCACCAAAAGTGTTGAAATATTTGTGCTTCAAGAGTGTCGCTCTGTACACATTTGCCATTTTCCACACTCAACTTATTGAAAACGTTTCCTTTTTTATATTTGCACTCTTGGCCAGCAACCCAGGGCGATTATCACTCTTTCCAGTAATAATTTCTTGGGGATTTCTTTGCTTTTTATTTTAGGAAAATATTTCTGCAATAATAAAGAGGATTTAATGGGTTAAGGCGGGCAGGGCACTAGGACGCCTGGCCATCAACTTTTCGCCAAGAGCAGTAAAAAAGTCAGCCAGCTCGGCTCGGCTCGGCTAGCTTTTCTTTTCCTTGGTCTTTTCTTTGTGCTGTGCCTGTCTCCTCGTCTCCCCGTCTCCTCGCCCATCCGCCCTGCTTATGATCGTTCTAATTTTATGACATTCTGTTTTCATGCATAGAAGAGCAGACGCATGTGTGTGGGTGGGGGAGCAGGGGGCAAGGGGCAAGGGGGTCTGGGATACACTCGGTGGAGGTCTGGGCGAGTGCAGCCATAGCCATTTCATAGTCAGACATGAATGCTGCGCTTTGTTGCCCTGCTACGCCTTTGTTTGTATTGCCCCCAGGGGTAAAGTTTTTAGGATAATAACTTCCTGCGACTTTACGAGCCAAGGCAAAAGCCGAAAACCCACCAGCAGTAACAAGAGCAACAACAGCAACTATAGGGATATAAGAATACTTAAGCAGAATTACACTGCAAGACAGACACATTAAAATCAAATGGAAATGTTACTTACATACAGAATCCATTTCAACTGGAGTTTCTGATCATTTCTCTCAGTGTGGCAGACGAGCTGCATACGAACAGCGTGGCGAAGGCAAGCCCTGAAAAATATCTCAAGACCTCCACTTAAAGCAGCCAGCGAGTAAAAGCAAAAGCAAATGCCAACACATCAGCGATTCGGAGTGAGGCAGGGACAGCCACAAAAACTTTTGACGTTGTCGACAGGGCGGGAGTGGTAAGGGATGCCATGGGGACATGCCACAGGATGAGGGCTGCGGTGCCATATTAAAGACAGCTGTAGTAAAAGCACCGCCATGACTGTGGGCACAATCTCAGACATAATTACACACACACACACACACAGCTCACAGAGGCAGAGACAGGTTCTGAGCTCGAGTCAGAGCCAGAGTCAGGCACTGACAAATGCAGTCACACATGAATGAGCTTTCTTCCAGGTTTTGCTGTTGCACCTTTTTTGGTCAAAAAGTTGATTTAAATCCGTGGCGCAAAGGTAAGTTCTCGCTTGGATGGATTTTCTCGTGGGTGGAAACTTGTAAAGTGCATTTAAAATTAATTAGGCATTCTGCTGAAAAAGTATATTGCATGACACGAAACGAACGAAATGCAGGGAAATAAAGGAAGCGTTCCGTTCCGTTCCGTTCCGCTTTTATCTGTCAATTAACA